CACTTCCTTAAGAGAAAGGAAGAAATGTTTATTGTAGGAATGTGTAAACCTCCAAACCTACACCATGAATAATAACAATTTTTTTTTCCCAGTTATTCTAGGATGAATAACTTTTAAACTATTCTTGAACATGGGAAAAAAAAAAGCAACCAGATGCTTACTTATTCTTATCTATTTTAGAGAACTAATTATCCCCGTTGTTGGTAGTGCTAAAGCTTACAAAATTGCTTCCATCTTTGAATTACTATAATTAAGACAATAACTTCCACATCTAGTTAACATTGCTGCGCAGCTGGTGCATTCATTGACATGCAGATTTTGGATTTTGTAAATTTTCTGCCATTGTGAATAAAAATTTTAAATACTTATTTTCATTTCCAAAATGTCTGTTTCTCATAAAGAAGCCTTTGTAAAGCAAATAAACTGAAACCAAACTCCTGTAACATCAGAGGAGAATCTAGTTAAATTTGGTTAGGTGATAGTACATTTTAGGAAAATATGTTACCACAGATAGCTGCTGTAGGTGTCATCACTCTGAATTTTGGATCCCATTTTGTAGGGATTTGGACTCACTGAATTAAATGTTAAATCTGGAACAAGTCTGATGCTGGACTTCTGAAATTTGATTTTGAAAGGAGTTATTAGTTAATGCAAGAGTTAATCCAGCATTGACAACCTGAGGTGGTTTACAAAGCTAGAACTCTGTAATTAAAAATCACTAGTACAAATCATATGCCTTAACGATTACTAACCAAAATGTGATTTCAACTATAATTTTTCTGTACAACTTTCTACCTCAAGTCGATTTCTACCAAAGTCTATGGGAAGACTCGTGCAATTGGTGCTCATCTTGTTTGCTTCCATATTCAGCAGCTTCAATTACGAGAAATTTTTCAAGGCCTATAACTTTAGATAGATTTTGAGAGAATTCCTTAGCATTATTCATTTCTAATAACCAGCAACGCTATGAAATTACTTGATAGCGGTGTTAGTTATTTATTTTTAAATTGTTTTTCTGTGGCCCTTGCTTTCATTACACGAATGCCTCGTGGACGTTAATCAGTTTTGCTCAGTGAGTTAGAGATGTCCCCTGAGTAAGCTGCTAAAATAAAGAATCAAATATCGATTTATGCTGAAACTGAAACATTGATTTCTTTTTCAGACTGAAAATGCATATGAAACCAGGTGTACTAATGGTGCTTGTTTTGGAGGCTTGGCATGGAATTGTCTCTTGGTGCGTAGGAGAGGGTTTGTTAGGGTGTAGCTGAAGAGCACCCGGGCTGCGTGCAGCTCACAGGTACGCTACCAAATGTTCTCACAAATAATGCTGGCCAAGGGTGCTGGCTCCAGAGTGCATTTCAGTGGGTCCAAACCCAGTGTCCGGTTACCAGACCCACGTCCAATGTCCCACAGTGTTCGATTTCAAGAATGCGCTGGGAACGCTTCAGTACACGTAACAAATGTTATTTTTACTGCAGGCAGAGAAGTTAACTCTAGAAACAGCAAAAGCACCGTTTCCGTAGTGATGGCAAAGGCATTATTTCAAGTATTTCGATATAAATGATCCATTTTGCTCTGCATGTTTAGAATTAAATCCAGTTGCTCTCGTGCTCTCATAGATTTCTAGACCGGTGTTTGGCAGTGTGGGTGTGCAACCTCGGTGGCACAGGAGAGGGATTTTCATGTTGACAGCCCTCCAAAGCACCCCGTGGGCTAGAGCTTGACCCTGCAGTGCCAAACAGTACAGAAACTCTGCGCTGTTAAGATTGTGTTTTGCCTGAACTGGAAGACCTGGAGGGGGTTTGTTCTCTGAAATTATGAAGTGGGATCTGAGGAAAAAAAAAAAGGTTAACAAGACCCATACCAAATTGTGAGGGGAAAGGAGGGTCAGGGTCAGGCTTGCCTTGTGTATAATGAAAATAGCAAAACTTTGGCTTATAAACAAATAATAATGCTTGGAATCTCTCTGGACTGCTTAAGAAGTTTCTTTTTTTTTCTAGTTGAAATACTCAGAGACGCATAGGTAACCTTTTCTCTTCCTGCTTTCTCCTTCTACTCCTGTTTTCTTATGTAGATTGAATTATTTTTAGGTCAAGGAAATGTATAGTATTGTTTGGAGAACTTGTGAACAGTACTAAACAATAATTAATGCAATTTAAAGCATTAATAATATGATCTCCATTATCATTGGCCTTGTAGCTCAGCATTGAGCCCAGTACCGTCTGTCTGGCTGAAGTGCATCTTCCAGGAAATAATTTTTTCTTCACTTGAACTGTTTCTGCCAACACTTAAATTGAGTAGTTTGAATTTCTTTGGCAGAAAGCCCTGGTTAAAGCCAGCTTTACTTCTTTCCTATTTAGCTGTTTTTCTTTAGGAGGTGCTCAAATGCTGTCATAATGACTTCTTGGGGAAGGTCGCCCAACTGAGGTCTTCATGTTACCTCCTCCCTTCCCCCCTTTTTTGTATTTTTGCAACTTCATCACTCTTGTTCTGTAGTTTCTCTGGGATTACATGATCTATTAAAAGTTTTGTGTATCTATCCAGAGAGCTCTCTTCAACCAGTAGAGAGTATGATTGTATTGGTTGTATATTTTTCTCATCATATAACATAGATTCAAGAAACTAGAAATTCTGGTTTTAGCCTCTGTGTTTAAGCTTTGCCTTATTGCCAGCACACATGGTTCATAGAAATGGCTAAATGGGCCCAAGTGATGTTCCCCCTTCCCACGTTAGAGATCCAGGGAAATTGAAAGTTATCCAATTTTGGGGGTGTAAGGAGAATAATTTTTTATTCCTAACTTGGGGCTAGACTTTCACTCCAGTCCATTCCCTCCTCTGGGTACATTTGTGTAAACCTGACCTATTTTAATGGGTCTCAGCTGCGCTTGCTCTCCAGCCACTTAACCCTTTCTCTTTTGGTTCCTTATCTTTGCAAATATAGCAGCGAAAATGGGTTTGTAAAACTCAGTTCAATTTGGCAAATGCAGGCAAGCGGTTAAAAAGCTTGGAGTTTAGGACAGTTCATGTTCCTCGTTATGCTGCGATTTAAATATACCAAGTTTCCATAGCCAGCTCCAGACATCGCTGTGGTAAAGTATATTTTAGGAACTCTTCTTAGCAAAGGGATATGACCATAGAGGATGGAGCTCTGTTTTCTCATTGTACCAGTGCTTTATATTGTGCAAGACCTTAAATTCTTATATTGTAATTTGTATTAAAATAGTCAGAATTTTTTTTATTTCTTACATAGTAATGTATATTATACTAGAATACTCAGGACTTCTGTGTTTGAGAAAGATTTTCTAGTAATATAAACATAATATTTATCTGGTATTAATGTTGGAATTGAGTATTCTGTTTTTTTCAGCTGTTACTAGAATAGAGTGACTGAAAATGTATTAAAAAAATCCATGAACTGAGATTTTAAGCTTCTTAAAATCAGGCTGTTAGTTTTTCCATATGATGTACACAATGGCAATCAGTTTTTGGATGGACTGTTGTTGAATAATACATGAATGTAAATGGAGATTGTATGGAATCAGTTGGATAATTTTGAGGAATGCTTTAAGTACACTAAAGAGCCTGAATAGCAGTTAATGGTGCTTCAACTTTATTACTGTTTATTATAGTTGGCAGTGCAGTTGTATTTTTTTTCTGCATCAAGTTCTCTAGTTTCCTATAGAACAGCAATAAAAAAAAGCTTACAAATAATAACAGTCAGATGCTCTGTATCCTGTGGCAGCAAAACAGTTTTGCATTAAATCGTAGTTTTTGGCAGTCCGAGCGTGTTTGTTGTTGGGCAGCTCCAGAAGATCAGCCAGTGCAGGAAGGACCGAGGCAGACGTCGGCATTCGGAGCTCTGTGAGCAGGACTCCTCCGGAGCTAGGCCAGCAGGCTCTGTGTTCAGCCACTGCTCAGCCTTCCCGCTCCTGTCCCTTCTCCCAACCCCTATCAAGACCAGTATGATTTTACTTACCTCTTTGGAGAACTAATGAAGTAAGCAGAAATGTTTCTGCCATCTAGAGAGCAAGTACAATGAATACCTGTACGTCGCTTTAATACTTTAAAGTGAGATTGTGCTGGGAACTAGGACAATCTCTGTTTCAAGAACAGGAAAAGTGGTGATCAGAACGTGATTTAAATGTCTAGTTGCTCTTGTTCACAGCTCCCATGATTTAAAAATGTTTCCCTTGCCCATTACAATGACTTTTATCATCTTCAGAGCTAAATGTTTGCTACTAGCAATCACGGGCTGGGAAGCAAATGGAGGAACACATCGTTCTCTTCATTTGGCTAAGTTCTGAGACTCCAGTGGGGAAAAAAATAAATCTGAACTGCCTCATACAGAAGTGTTGCCTTTTTTTGCTGGAAGGAAGTCATGGCAGTGAGCGGAGCTGATTCGGAAGAGGGCTTGTCTGAAGCTTTCTTTGCAGTTTTCTGTTGGTATTGCTGCATGTGTTCACAAAGATTCTTGAATCTCAGGTTTTAAGTTTTATTAGTAAACCTGCTCATCTGCTGAATTGTGCTAACACTTTGCTTCATAATTTTAACTCTGCCCTAAGGAATATGCTCTGGTTTCTTATAGTAGTAGCCAATAATTGTAACAGATTTATTTGCTGGTTTGGGTATTGGTAAGAATATCTAAGGCACTCTGGGGTATTTTACAGTTTTCTGCTTTTTGTGTGATTTGTAAAGCATGAGTTGCACGTATTTTGTGAATCGGGAATGTGTCGTCAGCTATCTCTAGTGGCCTGTGCAGCATGAGATACAGTTTTTATATTGCTTCCAAGTGTATTAAAACACTTGTTGCTGACAAAGTACCTTTTGGCCCTGTATGCTTACTTCTTTGCAGGGTCGCTACCCTGAGATTGAGAGCATGAAGAAATACCAACCTAAATACTGAGAGATTCCTCCTCAGCTGAAAGACGTTCTGCAGGACCATCCTTCAGGTGCTTTTGTTCATCTGACCATGCCTTATCTTTTGTCTGTCTTTCTTTCAGCTGTCGGACAAGCAACAGAAAGAGTTTGATCGTAACATCCAGCACATCTCCAACTCTTCCGCGACCACATTCCCCTCTTCATGGACACGCAGGTAACTCCCTAGGACTGCTTTACCTGGGAAAAATGTCAGCGTTCACTGTAGTGACTTTGAACATTGATACTCTACATCAAAATATGCTCTTTGAAACGTAATCTGACTAGAGTTTTTCACCTTTTCTAACTTGTAAGAGGGTCCTTATAGTTTCAAAGTTAAGTGTTTTATGTCCTCATCTGTTCTGTACTTTATAGTTCGCTACCATATCCATCCTCCACTCTTTCTGGGGAATTCAGTCATCTTATGTCCCGCGAAAGAGCTGGAGAAGATGGAGAACAAAGTAAAATAAAATTCAATAAATACATTTAAGTAAATACCTTGGTTTGAGTCTCCTAGCATGGTTAATTTGTGCTAGTGATTTAACTGCAGTTCTCATGAGAAGAAACATCCTAGTTGTTCCTGTGTGCCTCCGGCAGCTGTTCAGTGAGCCATCTTCTCTCTGTCTCCTACCTGGAGTAACATGAGATGGTTAGGATTCTTTTTTTTTTTTTTATGCATTACTGCCAGTTTTACCATGGCAGCAACTAGGAAACGCTCATTTCGGAGCAAATGAGCAACTGCTCGTTAGTCATGGAGGTGAAGTGTGTGGAGATGTTCTTTCTATAGAAAACGAAAGAATGATTGTTCAGCCTACAGTAACGATGGATTTTCAGAAAGGGTCATGCATGCAGATTCAACAGCTTGCCTGAACAGCCTGTTCCCTTGATGTTTTTATTGTTGAGGGAGGTAGGTGACATGTGACTACATTGTTTTTGATATCTCAAAATGCCAGAGAAGACAGTTGGGTTTCAGGTATGGCCCTAATGGGCACCAGGCAGTAGCATGAAACAGCTTGAACACTTGTGGCACATCATCCACAGTGGAGCCTGTCTGGAAGCGCATCACTGTTGCATGTAAGGCAAGTTAACTGTTGTTTTCATTATAATCAGACTTTCCTCCTCCTACATGGCAGTATGTTCTGTAAATACTTTCTGGAGTTTGAAACTAAGGAAATGCTGAGAAAGAACAGCAACTTGATAGTAGCTCAGCCAGAAGGAGCCATCTGCTTCTGTTTGCAGAGCATTGCATCTCAAGAGGTGACATCCAGCCTGTTGAAAGGAAAAAGAAGACCAAAGTTATTGTTCAGGGATGCCTGTGAAATCCTTAACCACCCTAAGTTTTCATAAAACTTCATCATATTTGCTTGGGATGCTATAAAGTCTGGTCATGGAAGGCTGGGAAGTTACTTTAACGACATTGTTTTATTAAAATCATAGAATCGTAGAATGTTTTGGGTTGGAAGGGACCTTTAGAGATCATCGAGTTCATGGCCTGTGATTTTAAAATTAAAATGTTAACAAAATCTTAAAAGTAGTATATTAAAACCATTTTCTTTTTGCTTCAGCATCTCAGATAAAATACAGGGCCAGAAATGTTCATGGGGCAGTTCCCTTTCACTTCAAACTCCCTTGGTTCTGTTGTGTGTGATTATGATAGTGATAGCTTTGTAAAATTTGGTTTCAACAAGGCTCCCTGGTAGAGGTTCTCCACTTACTTACATTGTGCTCTTTGCTTTGTTCTTAGAGTTGATGTGTATGTTAGATTTAACAAATTCTAAATTAGCTGTACAAGCCTTTAACTAAAGTGATAGAGAAAGATGCTCCTTAGAATATGGAAGAAGTGCCCTTGCTTGGCAGATTGCAACAAGATGTTGACATGATCACTGCTCAGAAAACACAGAAATGTTCACAACAGAAACATTTATATTTTCTTTTGATTTGCTTTTTTCCTCTATTTAAAAAATGAAAAATTGCTCTTAGTGGTTTTGATACTGTCTCGAGCTTTACAAGCTTGTCTTTTATTAGAAGTATGTGACTGTCTTCTAGAAACTCGAGTAACTAATCACTGCTATGCCATCTTTCTGCAGCAGTAATTGTCAAATATTTCCATTTTTTGTTCTGGTGTTGCATATGGGATTTAAGACTATTAATTAAAAGGATATCCTTTGTGACCTCCGAGAATAGCCAGTAGAGCACAGGAAGATAAATTACTTGTAATTTGAGTTCTCTACCAGTACTATATTTAGGAGTGTTCCCTGGGAAAAATAATTTATTCAAGAGACAAAAGTAGATGAAATTTAGAGTAGAGTCACAAATATTTTCTTAATAAATATCATATATGAGTTGTGAATTTGAGAACAGGCTGTGATATTTGTTTAGTATTTGAACAGAATCTATCAATCTGTTTGTTCAGGAACATACACTGATAAGTTACTAAGAAATGCTGGAGCCTCTCTGTGGCCTCTTTTGTCTTGAACACGCTCTTCTTAATGCCCATTCTGAACCTCTCCTATGAATCAAAGGAACAGCAAGCACACAGAAAAATCAGGGAGGCTTTCTAGAATGTTTCTGTTCAGAAACCACTCTAAACCAGAGTCCTGTATGGCACTAGCCTCAGGAGTTTTTCTTCTGTATGTGATGTAGAAATCAGTGGGTGTGATACAGCACAGCTGACTGTCCGTCGGGCAAACCTGCCTCCTAGTGAGCACCGATCCAGGCAGACACGCTTACTGTCTGAAACAGCACCCGGGTAAGATGCCAGGCAATTTCGTACCCTAGAAAATTCAGAGGAAAAGTAATACTTAAGAAATCTCAACATTTGAGATGGAAATACATCCAAACAATTTTAACTCTGCCATGAAATGATTTCTGATTCAAGAATGCTTCATGGATTTGAAGCATGCTAATTCAGTTTTCAAACTGTATGAGGTAGTGTCATCCAAAATGAACTGGCACCTTGGTATAGGAAGCTACAGCTTGTTAACTTCGTGGGACAGTCACTCTGCTTGTCCAGTCACCCAAACTTGGATTGAATTGACTGGTTTTAGGAGCACAGGTTTGAAAATCCTCCTTTTATTCTAAATTCTTTTCCTTTCAAAATCAAAGAAGAAAAGGTATACACAAACGTTCCTTACATTTTTTGTATTTGTTTGAATCCATTTTTTAAAATCTGAAAATTACGGAGGTGTGCACACTACACCTGTTATAGCATACCTGTCCTGAGGTTGATTACTAAGTTGCCATTAGATTGTATTTTAAAGCGAAAAGCTTCAAATCAATCAAAGAAGCAACATCATCTTTATAATTTAGTAGGAAAGAGATAGGTTCTTACAGCTGGATGACTGAAGTTCAGGCTATTTTAAAATTTACTTTGCACAGCTGTAAGGTTGCTCGCTGGTTTCCAGTGGAGACACTTGCCGCTGCTGGGACCTTCGTCCTGCTCCCCTCTGAAATGGCGGGTGGAGGGAGCTGCTCGCCGGCAGCACTGTGGAACCAAATTAAATTATTCTGCTCTTTCGCTGCCAGTTCAGTTCCACCTTCTGGCAGAAAAATGGCTGTTACTAAGGCCTCTATTTATTATTTTTAGAGTGGGCAGAGCACGTAAGGTACTGCTCTAGATCCTGCCGTGGTTATCAAAGCTGCAGTTCCTCAGCATTTCATGTGTGTGATCCTCGGGTGGTGTGAGAACTATATGTGAGATGGGTGGTAGACAGGGTGCTTAAACCTGTTTGGTCATTTTAAGATTCCCGTGTGCTGGAAAACAGCTAATTCTGTAGCATGCAATAAGATCTTTAGTTGCTTGTGTTAATATTCATCAAATAATGTTAGTCTGTCCTACGTAGAAGACCACAACAACTTTGTCTTTTGTATTTATTTATTTTTACAAGTCTCAGAAGCAGGTTTTACAAAATGTTTCTAGTACAAGTCTTTGGACTCGCTACCTATCTGATGAATGTCATGCCTACTGTTGATGATAGCTGAGACTTTCACCTGTCTATTGCCCATTAACATCCAGTTTTGTACTTGGAGGGTAGCGGATGTACAAATGCTTTGGCTGCATCTTTCTTCCTGTGTCCGGAAAATGTAAAGGTTCATGCCTCAATTATTAACATTCATGTAACTGGGTTGATTTACCTAACGGGTAATCATTCTGCGTAACAGCCTCCCTGGAGACGGAGTCGTTTCAGGTTCAGTAGTAGCCAGCTATAACCCTTGAGCAACAGGGGAACTTACCTTTGCTAACACAATAAATAGGGTTTCGATCAGCCTGGGTGAATGAGACCGTTGCACTAAGGCTTCTCTTATTAAAATTCCTTCAACTATAGCAGATGCAGGAGTACTGGGAAATTTTAGGGAAAGTAGTAATTCCCCTTCTCCCTGTTGTTGTTTTAAAAGCTTCACCCAGACTTGAATTGAGTAGAAAAACTAATTGCTTTTCATTTTAAAACTAGAAGCAACTCACAGGGGATCCAATTAAAATTCCGGTGTCTGGAAGGAAATATGCCATATAAATCTGAAAAAGTAGTTGCTTAAAAATTAGTAGTATCTCCGCACCAGATTGTGCGGGCTCAAAAGAATTCGAACACCCACATACTTCATAAAAACTGTCATTACCCAATTTGCTCAGTTATTCTGAAATCCTATTTTGATTATAATCGGGGAAGTTTACAAAAGATTGATGAAGATACGAAAAGGCAATGACATTTCATTGCTTGTTTATAACAGCATTGAGCAATGGGCTTTTTGTTCAGAAAGATCATCTTGACACAGTAGGGTTCGTCTGCAGTAAAGCTTGAAAAATGGGAAGGCAAAGACCAAGGTTCCCACCAAAACCGGCAGCTTTCCTTGCTTTGTTAGAAGATCTACGTAACCATGGAAAGGCCTCACTCCTGCTGCATTTCCTCCTGACCTAAAATGCTTCTTCAGCTTTCTGCTAGCAATTAAATCATGACCCTAACCCTAGCGGTATGCTGCTACCAGGACATGTGTGTTTATGCACCACTGAAATGTTCATTTTGTGGCTATCGTGGCTTTCTTCCGTCGTTCTCATAAGCTTGCAGTGCCATCTAGACTGTCCAACCAGTCTTCTCTTAATTCAAAAGCAATATAATGTCTCTGGTTTTCCACTGTGACCGTAAGAATTAAAATGAGTGCAAGCTTAATAAATGAAGCACCAAAAATCATCTAGTTATTGATTTCTGACCGCTCTTACCCCTTCCCGCTTAGGATATACTGGGAATGGGTTAAATGGTATCCACTTTGGGGTGAAGACTTGCATTATGTTATATTACACTGTGAATTTGTTAGTTCTTAACTAACAATACAAAAGAAAACCAAGCCAAAGGAAAACAAACCCGTTGTTTTTAATTTAGTTTGCTCCTGGTGAAGCAGATTGTGAAGAGGTCTGGAATTCACTTACCTCTCCGGTTCTCTCATCACCCCTCAACACATGTTAGATCAGCCTGGGGCTGCTTTAATCTCAACCAGCTGCTATTTTTCCCTTCTTAGACTTGTAGACCAGATGGAGTTTGCTGGCCTGTGCTGCACTGTGGCCATCCCCGTACCCCAGGCGGTGTCAGCTTGTTCTCCCTCTCCTCCTCCCTACTTGCCCAGGCTCGCTTGCCAGGCATGCACACACCTTGCTCACAAGAAGTTGTGCAGAGATGCTGCTGCAGGTTTTTCGTGAAGCATTCGTATAGCCCAAGTGTGAGCTAATGTTACATTTGTCTGCGTACAGCACTTATATTCCATTTCTGTTCGGCATAACAGTTAAGGTGTATGAACAGCTTGTGTTGAAATTAATGCAATTTAATTAATAAGCTTCAGTACAGTGCTGGATGGGACGGTAACCTCGCAAACAGTGCTGGGGGGGCGAGCTGGGCGCTTCCCTGAAACAAAGACAAGTCCGTTGCAGATGACTCATGGTTGATGTTTGACTTTTCATCGTGACTTTTAAAATAAATCTAAACTAAATTGAAAAACATTTCTGATGACCAGTTACATACCTTGCACTGCGCTGCTTGACCTGTATCTGTTTAGTTTTCCTGCTCTTACTTTAATGTTATTTTATTGTCTCTGCACAAAGAAATTGCTGTTGGCGTATGTTTACCTTGTATAGTTTCTCTTTTGTGCTGGTATTAAGGATCTGAAAAGAGCAAACCACTTAAGACTATGACCGATAGAAAGCCCACTTGCTGGCATGAAGCTTCTAATTCGTCCATAACTTTCAAAGCTTTCTGCAGTTAGTCTGTAAATGAGTCTGGCTTTCAGAAGGGCTTTCTATGAAATGGTTGCTTTTTACTTTGAAATAAAATACACTGCGATATACCACTTACCAGCCATATGCTTACACATCATACGACAAAGCCCAGAGAAAGTATTCTTGTGCCAAGTGAAAATGAAGTGTTATTTTTTCCTCACTGTATAAATTCACTGGAACTTTCATTTTCATGGTAGAAATATTATTTCAGAGAAGTTGTAGTTAGGGTGAATGCTGGCACGTTATAACCTGATCATCTTACATGTGTGTAGTCCTTTTATTATCATGTCCAGTTCTTTTGGTATGTCTTTTTTCCCCCAGTGAATTTTGCATTCAGCCTTGATGTACCTTGCAAAGGAATACTTTCTTACTATTTATTATTCTTGAAACTGTCATCAATGTGATTTCTGACTGGTTTTTCATTGAGAAGTGTTAGGAAAATTATTGCAAAATATTAAGAGACTATATTGTGTATGTGTGATACATTACTTATCTGAAAGTAAGAAAGAAAACGTACACCTTAAATTATTTTAAAAGGAGGGAAAATACTGATACATCCGTATCAGAGCATTTCTTTAGCAAACTAATGCTCAAATTATCAAAGACTCAAAGCTACATGTTTTCAATTATTTGTGACTACAACATGCAATTGAAAGTCTTTCTGCACGGTGAAAACTTACTCCATTTGTTGCAAATGTGAATGAAATATTTTGGGATTTTTTTTATTTTTTTATTTTTTTTTACTTTCTCAAACAGGTAGCAGCCCTTTGGACAGTCCCAGGAACTTCTCTCCAAATGCACCTGCTCATTTTTCCTTTGTTCCTGCCCGAAGGTAAGGCAGGATCTATTATCTTTGGACTGGCAAGCGAATAGTTTATATACTTTTACTTAGTACATACTTTACATGGCCTATGGGTTAGAAGTTTTGTGTTTTACTTTCTCTGATGTATTTTATTTTATTTTGTTATTTTTTCGGTTTTGTTTAGATCTTGGCAGCATTCAGAAAGTATTAGGTGCTTTTCAGACCTAGAAGAAGGTAAAGTAAATTAAGTAGTCAATACAGCCGAGGGAGGAGGCAACGTTCTCCCAGAGGATGACATACAGGGCATGTGATAGAACAAATAATTTAGTCACAATGACATTAAACCCAGTTATGATTAGGATAATCGTATCTTAGTAGTAGTCCTAGATGCTCTTTTCACTGAATAACTGAGGTATCTTCTAAGTGATTCCAAGTGATCTTCTTTGCTATGTCTGCACAAAGACATAAACATAACTAAAATTAGGAGTGCACAACTGCGCATTCAGTGCCTTCTGGTAGCAGCTTTTTAGTTTTCTCTACTGTCTTGGGCATTGGTGTCAAGAGTACATTAATGCTCTAATGAGGAAAACAGTTGATAATTGAAATTGCAAGTCTGCAAGAACTTCTAGAAGAGCAGCATTGAGAGACCTGCATGTGCAGCTATCATCTGTCCTGCAGTGGATGCTAGACAGATGCTGGTCATGCCGTATATCAAACTGGTGGAAAGAAATCTGATATTGACGTGATGAATATAGTGTAAGGAATAGGATAGAAAGAATAGAGACAGCTGGGAGAAGCAGACAAGTGGTGTATTGAATGTCATATCCCAGTAGGTAGGCAGAAATGGATAATGATACAGAAAGTTAAATTTTGTGGAGATATAAAGAACAGGGGGAAAAAGAGATCTCAAGCAGGGGTTGGGCATAGTAGCAGGATTATTAGATTCAAGTCTGGGGAAGATATTTAGGATTTGCTAAATTCTGCCTCAGCTGAAAAAGACCCTGTCTGTGTTAAAATGATCTGAGACCGGGTAATGTGTGATCATCCTGAGAGGAAGTAAGTTTTCTGAGAACAGCAGACTTAGCTTGAGGACTAGTTAGAAAAAGGATAGGTCTCAAAACTTCAAAGAAGAATAAAGGGTTAGGATTTGATGAAATAAGGCACACCCTTATCTGAATGGCAGGTAAATCCTGGAGCAGTTCTCCATTGAGGTGATTTGCTAGAAGCCCTGATGTCTGTGAATACTGTTTGAAGTAGACTTTGGGTTTCAGGTCTTATGTAAGAAAAAAACTTTATAATAGCATGTGAAATGTGATGGACTGGATATGGACTTTCCTGTTGCCTCAGAGGGAAAAATTAGTGTTTTACCTGCTGGCAGAGCAATTCAATTGGACTCACGGCATCCACCTTTATTTTTAAAGAGATATCTGAGTCTGATCTGGGTGTATTCAATGAGTTCTGTTGAAGTCAACTGATTTTTTACCAGTTTTCACAGTATCTTGAGTTCTGAACCCTGGAACACAGGAGGAAAGTTGCAGCTGAAACCATTGTCAAAACTTAACATAGTTTTTCAACATGATGATTCAACTTGATGTTTCAGTATCATAGCTTTCTAAAATTCTAAGCAGAAAATAAAAGTTTTAATAATAAAACTCTGAAGAGTGCCCTTTCATACTTTTCCACTTCTTTAAATCTAATTTTTAGAGAAACAGATTAATAAAGGTTAAGTCTGTCCTGTCAAATTCTGTGGTTTGTTTTACAGTATGCATGTTGCTCTCTATACTTTTTCTTTCTGTCGTTGAAAAGAACACTTAAGCACAGCTTGGTTTAGAAACTTGTTTCTATTTTCTACTTGCATTACACCCTGAATAGCTATGCCAGCAGTACTAATACATGTTTATTAGATTATCACATAGTGGTATCAGAATAACTTTTATATGATGGTATTAAGTAATTGAAAGTGTGGTGCTCTGTTACCCCACGCAGATGGATATTTCACTGTACCCTTTTGATCAGCGTTGCATGGGTCTTAAGAGATGGTTCTTGCCCAATTTCCTCCCATTGCCATCACAGAAATTATTTGTTGCTGATTTTCTGCCTTTTATATTTGGTGTAATTTCTTCATTTATTATCCTGTTTGGACATCATTTGTGATGTCCATTCTTTCATTATAGCCCTGTGACGAGTTGATTCTTGGCACAGAGTAGGAAACACATTTGGAAAACTCATTTTATTGGAAAGCCAATTTCACTACAATATACTGCAAGATTGTCCATAGTTTGAGTAGTGATTAATCATAAAACCCTTGCTAGACACCCTTTCAATGACTGTGTGATAGCCACAAAGTTAGGAATACGGAATGTTTGAATACGGAAACGTATGGTTAATTCTATCCCTGTTCACTAAAACTGATCTTAGTGGAACAGCAGTAACAGAAGATGAGAAATTTTTTTCAGAAATCACATGTGCATCTTTTACTTCTCCCTCTCTCACGATCATTGTACAATTTCTTCCATACAGCCACAGCCACAGAGCAGACAGGTAATATGCATCGTATTGCTCTTGTTTGTGTACGTGTATGAACTGTGCTTCTGTGCAGCCGAGCCTGTGTCCCTAACAAGTTCATGCTGTAAGAACCCCATTTAGGCATTCAGCTTCTCTTCTTTGGTAATCAAAACAGAAAATCTTTGCACTTTGGCTTAAACAGGGAGTTCTCTGGAGAAGACATGTTCTTCTAGCACCTTCTTGTTTTGTAACTGATCTACTGTTCATCGAATAGCATTTAGCTGCCATAAAAATACCTCCTTAATTAACTAATTAAAAGGCAAAATTTGCTGTTTGCATGTTTGTATTGTGCTAGTAAAGCATTTACAATAAATAAAAGACCTAAAAATTTCTTTCCAAGTATCTTCTCCTGACGCAATATTGCATGAGGTATCTCTAAAAATGTGTTTATTAACAAAACACTGGAGCAACTTTGAAATGTTTTGCATAAGTGAAGGAGGAATTTTCTTTTAAAGTCTTTTTCCCATTGCCTTTGATTTGGAAGATTCCTACTCTTGTCCCACTTCTTTCTGCTAGAATGGAGCTGATATGCGTTGTCCTGACTGCTTAGCACATTGCTTGCCTAGATTGCATCAGCAGAAAATAGCCCAAGCATGGAGAGGTATCCTGTGATTTTCCAATTGAGAAAGACTTTTTTGGTTAACTTTGTCAAAATGAAAATTCTGAAGTAATTTCAATACGCAATTTAGGCAACTCAGTAAAAAAGGGGTTAAGCTTTCCTATTGCAAAAAATGAATGACCTGTGCATTCCTGTCTCCTGTTGGAGAAGTCAGGAACCTACTGGCTTGCTTTGGGACTGAGGATCCAGATTGAGCATTGGCCTAAATATTTCCCCAGTACCCCTGTTATGTTACAAGAAGCTGAATGAAGATCACTGAAGTTTGGTGTTCAGTCACTGACCACATCAGGCAGCGACTTTGTAATGCTGACATGTGTTGTTTTTCAGGATTAAGAAAGGAATTTAATTTCTCTTGGAATTTTTTTGAGATTGTGTTTTCCATGTAATTGTCTTGCCAAAGAAAATGTCACCTGTGGCTAAATGGGGTTTAGCTATAATAGAGGCATGCAATAGAAATCTGCATTACAACTTGATCATTTTTTTTAATGCATGAAGCATGAGTTGTCTTAAAAATCTCTCTTGACATAATATTCTTCCAGTGATGTAGAACGGTGGGTTTATTTCCCTCTCGTTCCAAGATAGATGGCAAAGGGGAGTGGTGTGTATCGGTGCCTGAAAATAAAAGGAAATAGATCTGGATAAAATGCAAAGGGGCATTTATGTCTGGGTGTGCAGTGGACTTTTTTTTGAAGATGAGGCTTCATGGGTGTGGATAGTGAGATGAAAAATACTACCGTAAAGATGATAACAGCTGAGTTTTTTATAAGCACTAAGCACTATTTCAGACCATTACCAAACATCCTATTTTATAACGCAGTTGCATTAATATGTGTACCCAAGAAAACCCCAAATCTTTCCAAGGTAAGTTAGAACAGTGAACTGTTCTAATTCAGCTTCACTTTATGACCAGTTACTGATAATCTGCTGTAATCAAACAAAGTGGAGGCTGATGTGAGGAAGAGACTTCTTTAACATCCATCCCAACATGCAACAAAACACTTTGTAGGCCACAAAATGCATGCGAGAGTGAAATTAAATCAGAAGCAGAAAAAGCTCTGAGACCAAGCTGAATGTAGCTCGGTTTCCGTCCTCATTGAGGGTGGGTTTTGGGGGGAGAAGAGAGTTTCAGGGAGAGCAATATTGATTCTTCTCAAAGCGGTCGTATAGTTCCTCAGTTTTGACATTGGTAAAACAAGACCTTTTCTGCAGTGTCTCCAGGATGTTTTGGCTATTTTCCCTGAGGATCATGTTTCTTTGGCTACAATAAGGAAATAATTACTAATATTATATTGACTGGAGGAGAAAGGGACCCTAGGTGGAATTTCTGTAATTTCCATCTCCTCACTATTTTGAGTGGACCTCTCGGCTCTGTTCAGATCTTCTGCAGTGGATTTAATTCACCAGCTGTGTCAGGTGATGTGCTGGGCAGAATCCCTTCTGACTGGGTAAACAAACAAGTCTGCTTTCAGTTGATTCTTGATCTAACTTGTTTTTTTTCCTCAATTTGAAACTATTTGGAAGACAAGGATGATTACGTCAGTAATAGGCATGAATGTCTTTTGCAGAGAAGTTTGAAATGAGCTGATTTAATTTGTCAATGTTTTAGAAACTCCAATTTTGGCCCAACTGGTAGTATTTACAAAGCATGTACTTAATGCATGAATCTGATGCCCATTTACTTTATCTTTTCCAAGCTCACTTACTTTTGCTTTTAAAACTTACCCTAGCTGCTTTTTCACAAAGCTCGTTGTAAATAGGATACCTGAGTTATCAGAATAACTTGAGACTTTAGTAAAAATGTGAGGTTAAGAGATTTGAGGGAGGAAAATGCTTATTTCCCCTAAGTATTAGCCGCAATATATCCCTCACCGTAATTTCCCTTGCTGCTTTTCCACAGGACGGATGGACGCCGCTGGTCCTTGGCCTCCCTTCCTTCATCTGGATATGGAACAAACACTCCCAGTTCAACAGTTTCAGTAAGTGGCACAGACTTTTTCAAGCAATGCAGTTTGTACAAACACACCCTAACAAATCAGCTTCTGAGTCTTTACTAAAATATCTGATCTTTCTTCATTGTTTTGCTAACATTATTTAATATACTAATTATTTTAAAAATTATTTTAATTATTGGTTCTGCTGCTTTTTCCTCCATTTCCCAGCTCCTATCATCTTGCACTTTGCCTTTAGCACTGGTGAAATCCCAGTGCAGCACTTGGCTCGACTGATCAGTTGAGAGGCGCAATGTGTCAGAAGTGGCAGGACTCTGAGAGATAGTGCACAATTACTAGCCAGCTCTCAGCCTTTTTGTAACTGGGAAATGAAATTCTTGTCAGCTTTCAAGTTCTTAGTATGAAAAGCTTTGCTAACAGGCTAGCAGAAAGAAAAAGTGATAATCCACGTCTGTTACTCAACTCCGATAATTTGAACCTCCTAATGAAGCTTTTTGGTTCTTACACACGTCATTGGGAAGGCTGGCTGCAGTTTGCTTGAGTTCTGTACTTTCGAAAGGCTAGTATGTTGTTAATACCAGTGAGGTAGCAGCACCGCATTAACCCTTATAACTCTCAGATACCTCATACAATATGAATCTTATTCTTTGCTTTATGCAAACTAGATGTTGTGGTTATCATAACAACCTTGCAAAGCCAGGCATAGAAAAATTAGAAATGTTAAGGCCACCTGTACAGACTTAACGTAACACATTTTGGTATGTGTGTTATGGTGTCTTCAACCGTGTGGTCACTTATCACTGCCTCTTTCCATAATACTTCTACTGATCATTTTGTTTTACATGTACTATTTAGAGTATGTTCCTAATAATTGTAATGCCTGCATTAATTAGGACTCAATACTCCACGTTATGCGAATCTTACAGTGAATGCAGTATAATTATTTTTCTTGTGAACTGTTCTATTACATTCATCCATATACTTTTAGAAAGTTCTCAGCTTTCTGACGTGGGAAAGAAAGCATATTTGTCTTTTGTCATGTTCCTGGAAGTAGCTAGATTGTTTTGATGGAGATTTTTCCAAGGGGGAAAAAACAAAAGACAAACAACAAATCTGGGATAAACATGTCACATAGAGAGCATCAGTTCAAATGGTATAAGTATTATAAGGTTGTAAGCAACAGAAAAAAAGGCAGTATAATGAGAAACATGAAGTGATAGCCACATGTAGATCTGAATTCCTGCAGGAAATAGTTAGATTAAAACTTGTAATTCCAAGACTTTTTTTTTCCTTTTTTTTTCTGAAATGGCTGAGTCTCTCATCCCCTGTCCTGGTTCAGTGTTACAATCTCAGAAAGACATTTCAATGAGCTGTTTAGTCAGTAGAGATGCAATTCTTGGAGCTATTAAACTTAGTATTACATTTCTAAGCCAATCCTACTTACTACTTGTCTATGACAATGCTATTATCATAGAATTTCATAGATTAGAATTAATTTGAATTGATCTGAATAGCACCTCTGAAGTTGATAAGCAGTGTTATTCCTGTGTAGACTTTAAAACTGAAGTAAGAAGTAGGCAAGGGTCTTGTCAAAAGGGCACAATGAATTAATGCTGTAGATGCAAATTTAACAGAATTTTGGGCTTCCATTTGGTGTGATCAGTGCTCTAGATCACATTTCTTTTTCAAGCAAGATAGAAGGAAGCTGGTAGACCTTCCTTCTGGTGTACGCATCAGTAGTAAATGAAATATCAATAAGAAGAGTGTCAGTTCTGTGTTCTGCTGGCCTGAGCTTCCATGTGGCAGTTAGAGCTGCCCTGCTTCTCTGTAGTCATAGATCAGCTGCTCTACCAATCAACCAACTGAACAAACCAAGACGTTTACCTATTCTAAGGTCAGTGGAAACCTATAGGTTCTGCTTTACTTTTTCCTTCCAAATGAGGGATGACACTTCTAAAAATACACATTTACCCTTTTCATACAAATCATGAAGACCAGATACATCTCATCAGACCATTACTGAAGAAGCTGGAGAGAAGACCTTCTTTCAAGTTAAATTAATATAGAACAGTCAGCTGAATGGGGCAATATACAATTATTTTTAAACGTCTAATCTCCTATTCATTTTCTAGATGCAGAGTTAATATAGAAGCTATTATAGTATTAGCTTGAATTTTTTTACTGGAGAAGAGTTGTCTAATTCTGCATCTGTAATTAAGACACCAGGAGGATGTTTGTATTAGTCTGCTGCAAATATTGAATACAATGATGTGGCTACTTAAAAATCAATACTTCAGAAGTGTTTCACTTTGCTTTCATGCTTTTTTTTATTGAAAGGCTGTATGCCTTAAGACTGCTAGAGAAGCCCTTGGTAAAGGAAAGTCCATTTCTCATCGTGGTCTTTTATCTTCAGGGTTCTCTTTAATTATTCTCTGGAATTACAAACTTTGTGATCTGACTGCTTTTAAGGAGAGAAAGTGGAAGGAGGATTTTGTTAGGTCATCTACGAGTTCATTAGTACTGCTTCCCTGGTGATTTTGCTGTTGGGAGACAAAGTTTTTAATGCATTTTCTAGAATACCATTTTTGATATTTTTTTTTTCCTAACTCTAGTCTAGTAACCTTCCTTAATGTGGTGGCTTGTTTAATTTGGTTTTGAATAAGATATGTATTTGTAATGCCAGGACTTGAGTACCTGCTAATGCAGGTTTGTAAGACAGCGTCTTTAGTACTTCCTGCAGGATTCGTGTTATTTCATCATGAATGGGATGTCAGCTGACACGTACCTCTTCTTTAAAAAGCGTTGCTGTTTTTTCATAGGCAGGTACTTCTTCCTGCTCCTTCTATTGTGTAAGACACGAAGACGGACATCAAAGAAAGCTCTGAAAGTCAAACTGAGCTTGCATAATTCTGTACTAGAGGAGGAGAATCCTGTATTTGGTGTAAGCAGTGTGGACAGCAGAATGGCTGTGGCAAAGGGACTATCAAATACCCAGACTCTTTGTCTTGGCTTCAGTGTGGATTAGACCAGTGTAAGCTGGTGGACCACCTGGATAATCGTCACTGTGTGGACACTGTGCTGGAGATGACTTCCCAACGTGATCCCTGCACCTAGACCTGCCCAAAGGAAAACATTGGAAGCGGTGGCTTCCTGTCCAGCCACGCTCAGGGAGTTTGTGCATGTCCCAAGGCTTTCAAGGGGGCTGTGTTCTGTAAATACCTCTGTGCAGTGCAGGGGGCGTGGATCTGGTGACTGGAGCCAGTTATGTTTTTATCAAAGAATCTTTAGGTTTATAAGTGCTCACATTCAGATCTCCATCTCAGTCTTGGCTAGAATTCTCTAGACAAGACTATACTAGGATCTGCAATAATCTGCTTAGTTTTAGTTCAGCTCTCAAGTATAGCTGTTACCTTCTTGACACATTTGGATGTACCTGGTTTAGGTGATTTCAGAGTATTTTGTCTTTGCTGTCAACATTACAAACATGCAGAACTTGGTGGAAAGCCACTGGAACAGTGTACATAAGTAATTTCATCAGATCAATAAGGGGCCTTGGAACTTAGATTAGGATGATGTTTTTAATAAGGCCCACTGGTGTTATTCAATGCTACTCAGGTTATTCAGCACTACTTTTTTTTTTTCTTCCTTTGTTTTTAAAGAGGGTTTTTAATGTGTCCTTACAGAACATATTTTCTTACTTTTGTAAAATGGAAAGGGGCATTGAAAAATCACACAAGAAAAAAATGCATTCGTTAGCTGATCTACAGCTTTTTCCCCTGGAACATCCAACATTTGATGTTATTAACACTTCAAACAAATATTTGTTTTAATCTCAGGTTTCTTGAGGTTCAAGAATTAAAACAGTTTCATGTCTATCATTATCACAGGATGCGTGTCGTAGAAATGCGTCAACTTATTTAAAGATGAACAAGCTGTTTATAATAAGAAACTTTGTTAATCTTGCAACTCTGCAAAGTCAGCTACTTTAATTTTATTATTGCCTGCTTGGTTAGAGAAGCAGCTTGATGGGTAAAGGAAGGGAGAAATAAAATCCTGACCATTTACAAGAGCAATTTCCACCGAGAGCCAATAATCAGCAAAAAACTCTCACGTCTACACAGCTCCATAGCATTCTGCATGCCAGTGAAACTCCTGAGCTAAGAGAGCATGAGGGAAAAGGAAAGAAAGTTGCTCACCACTCCAGGAACCTCCTTGCCCTTTCCAGAGTAGCACTGGTACTCATGTACCTTCCTTTCTGTCTCCTGATAGTAAATTACCTGCATGATCAGATGTAATGGTTCCAGAATGGGATGCAGTGGTTCCCTAGCCTTCTCCCAAAGTCTGCCCAATCTCACCAGCTCTGTCATTGTATGTAAGGGTTGGCTTAGCCTAATGGGAACAATATAAAGAGGCACCTGGTCTGATAAGTAGCTTTCTTTTCCGCTGGAGTGTGCAGTGTCTGGCAGAATCCGTTCCTCTTCCATTCATTAGCTGACCCCTATGCATGCGTTTAGTGCATTTCTTTTCTGTATTTTTTTCTGTACTCAGTCATCATGCTCATCTCAGGAGAAGCTGCACCAGCTGCCCTTTCAGCCCACGGCAGATGAACTTCATTTCCTGACAAAGCATTTCAGTACTGAGAGCATCACTGATGAGGAAGGGCGCCATTCTCCAGCCTTGAGGCCTCGATCTCGCAGTCTCAGGTGAGCTTCAGGTTGTCTGTTGAATTTTTAAGATGTTGGACGCATGTATTGCATTTCTATGTGTGCTTTCAGATCTAAGAATAGTCATTTGTAGTTGTTTTGTTACATGTTTTTGAAATTCTTTTAATCAATCTTTAACTCACCTCACCTAATTGGAAAGGATTTATTTTTGCATTTGATGCTGAGCTTTTGGGTTGCAATATGGTTAGGATAGTCTGCTTTTGTATCTTCATAATAACTCTATGAAAAAATGATCCACAAGCATCTCAGACTAAACCTATAGGTTATAGATTTCCTTTAGTGAAGTTTCTTCTCAGAATTTTGCTGCATTAACATAAGGAAGTGGTTATAGTTGCAGTTAGTAACTTTTCCAGCAGTGCTTCTGAAGGGGTACGAAAACTTGAGTAGATGAAGTCAAAACCTTAAATGGAATTGCACCGAAGAGCAATTTTGTAATAGTGCTGAAAACATTTCTCCTGCGTTAGCAGCTGAATAATTTTTACTGTTGCTTCAGAGAACTGGTTGTTCAAAGAGAGCTATCCAGGGGTTATTTCCTTTCGCAGTTGATTTTTCCATACTTAAAACCAGAAGCAGCTAGAACTTCATCTTTCACAGAACTATAGAATGACTGAGGTTGGAAAGGACCTCTTGAGGTTGTCTTGTCCAAACCCCTGCTCAAGCAGATTGCCCAGGACCAAGTCCAGACAGCTTTTGAATATCTCCAAGGGCAGAGATTCCACAAACTCTCTGGGCAATCTTTCTTGCAGGTCTCTTAACAACTACGTGGAATAAATCCACAAACATTTTGTATCATGGCAAAAGCCTTAAGTTTTGCTATGTATTTAGTGCTGGACCAAGTGAGGGAAGGTCTAGAGATGCGTACCACTAGACACAGCATCTTGTGAAAGAAAAAGGATTTATACAAGCAGGGGGCAAGGAGGTGATGTCTGCCTTCTGCTTCTCATCTGAGGGTGTCAGAGGTGGATATCACCTTTAAATTAATGAGCAAGATTCAGAAACTCTGCCAGCTGGAAATACTGAATCAGTGCGTCCAGCTCAGGACATAGGCCAGGGTTTGTAAGGGAAGGAAGTGTAACAGGCCGAGATACCAAAAAAATCCATGGTGAGTATCGTGTCGTGGCAGACCTGACATTTTGTGATTATTTGTAATTATTTGTATGTTTGAAACTTCAGCGCAGGCTGCATGGTAATTGCATATGGATCTACTAAGTGTAGTTACACAGTAATCTACAGGAGCAGGTAAGTACTGTGGGTAGTAGCACACTTAGCCTGTGATCTCCGCAAATTGCCATGTAGTGAAAGACTAGTTATGTGATTTGTACTAAGTCTCTTTGAACAGTAGTCCTACTTCAGTCCTCTTGCTGTCACTCTTAACGCTGACTATCGCTGAGTAGTGTAACTGCAGTAGTACTAATTCTTGATAGATAAGACAGCTACTGTAGGTAGTCAACACATCACTAAAGTAATTATTGTCCCTTCTAACACAGACATTGCTGTTGGCATAATGAAGTATAAGACACTCTTGCTAATGCAAGAATGATGTAAACAATAACATGAAGAGCCCAATTTTATTTTTTTCCTTGTTAATATGGATTATCAGCTTGCTGAGAACTTTACCTCTGTGGGCCAATTTAAAAGCAGAGTTATCATATAGTAGGTTTATAATTTGTGACGAGACTAGATTAATTCAGTGTGTCATATAACTATATGATTAATCTTCTTCCTCTTTTGAATGCTTTCTGTAGCTCTCCCTGGTTTTCAGTGTGATAATGGCCAGCCTTATTGGTATTCCAAAGCTTAGAATGAAGTAATTTAATTTTTTAAACTTACTGTGCCTGATTTGTTTTTCATTTTGCTTATTGTGGGTACTGTGATGCTGTGTGACTCTAAAGCACCCTTGCCACTACCACGCATTCATGCTGGGCCTTGCACCTCAAAGGAAAATTGATATGTCAGTCCAACCAATTGGAGCAGCGTTTGTAGGAGTAAATGCCCTCTTTGACAGAGGGTGATGTGTCCTTGTAATAAAACAAGTACTGAAATATATGAAGACCAGACCTTATTCATTGCACAGCTTGCTTATTTATTTGCCCACATGACAGTAGCTCACTTGGTGAGAAGGTATTTTTACTTACTTAAAAAGTGAAAAAAATAAAATCTGAGCAGTTAACATGTTGAAAATTAAGCAGAAATTCCCTAAAAATGTAATGTTTTCATAAGCATTTAATGATCTTATTTGATCAGCTTTAATGAAAAGCAGATGAACAAAATACATCAGATGTTTTCCTTAGTTGGCGGTCACAGCTTTGTAATTTAAAAGATGGTCTGATATTGATGACTGATTGTTGCCATGTATTCGTTTTTCATCCTTTATGACTGCAGCCTTACATCTCTGTTTATGAGAGAGGAATTGGTATTTTGAGATAAAACTGTCAAATGCCAGGACTGTTGGTTTTGAGGGTCTGTGTACCCCAAGATTTTTTAGAAGTATCCAATGATCCTTTTATGCTCCTAGATGGAGGAGGGTATTACCTAGATGTAACTTTTGGAGAAATCTACTTCTTTGACTAGAAATGTACCATTTTTTTGTATCTAGCTGCAAGTGTTCTGTTCATACAAAGCAGTCTTAGCGATTAAACTGGATGCGAAAAGTAACAAAGCATACAGTCGGGGAGGGTTGTGTTGGCTGATGTACGCTGACATCTTGGTAGCACCTCCGTTGCTTGAGGTATTCTACAGCGTGGCTTGAAGATGCTCATCACTTAACTAATCCTGCCTTATTTGAAATCTCTCCAATTTCTACACCAAAGAAATGGCGCTGGTTCTTTCCCAGCTGCTTTCCTGTGCAGGGGGAGTGAGGTAGCCTGAGACCAGTGGTGGAATCCAAAAGGGTGATGTGCTTATAAAGCTGGTTGCTAAAGCCAGGAGACTGTTCTCTCCTCCATCTCCAGTAGATCCAGTACTCACATGCTAAATGAAAGGACGTATTTCCACGTGATCCACCTGTTTTGGTGCTTACAGTGTGTCTTCAGTAGAAGAGAATATTTTTTTATTACCTGCACAAGTAGTTCCTAAATATCATCTCTCAACTGTTCTCTTTTTTTTGTAATGCAGCCTTCAAATCCTTCAAGTTACTGACCAAAAGAGAGATGCCCAGGCTGCATTCACTTTGTTTAGAACAATGCTGGGCTTTACCTGAAGATCCTTTCTCCCAGGAGTAAAATGCATGGAAAGCATGAATTCTTGCACTAAACTTGGCATCGTTACTCTTTTTAAGTTAGAGAGATGCTGCCCTCCATCTTTTCCCGGTTCTCTTTACTTGTCATCCTTTAGCGGTTGCTAACACGTGGGAATGTGTGGAGAATGTCAGAGATAAAAGCAGAGTTAACTAATAACGACTTCTTCAAGAGCTGCTTTTGTGCCTTCACTCAGCCCACCAATCTGCCCATTTTTCTTGATCTCTTTTCGTACTTCCAGATAATGTTGTCTAGGGAAAAAGGGTTGAAGATTGTAGCAGTGAATTTTTATATAGTTGAAGTAGATGAGATCATCCTTAATCAAATCTGCTTCTTCAGCTCTTTGCTGGGGAGTGCTTTTTAAATGCAATCCTGCAACCTGACTTTTGACATGCTGGATCCTGCCATTAAGAATATACAGAGACGACAACTAGAAAATGCCAGGATTCTGACAAAAAAATACCCAAGATGGGAAGAAGGAATAGGTGTTGTGAAACCTCACTGGTGGTCCACATAGTCCATTTTTATCTTAAAAATGGATCTTGCAGGTTATGGACCTCTCTCCTCTCACTGCACTTAAGCGTCAGCTTTAGCTGCTTGAGTAATCTTGGTGGTTTCACCACTTTGTGCTGCTGCTTTCAGAAAGCGCCGATGCCACGAGCTACGGAGGAGCAGGTGGTGCTCCCTGCAGAGCGGGGATCCACGCAGCCACAGATTTGCCAGAGAAGGATAACAGTTTTATATTCTGAAGCATAAGGCATCTATTTCTTATGAAAATACATTCTAACAACATTAGAGAATGTTGGTCTCTGTGTTTTCTCTCTCAAGACAGTGAGTTCTGTGAACTTGATTTAAGAAAGTTTTTCAAAGTGATTAGTTTTAAATATACAAACTTTTGGTTTCACTCACCATCTTTATGGTTTTCTATTACGAGGAAAACTGAGTATTCTTATTTGCCCTCTGTACTGCTCATTACTTTAACTTTCTTGTGTTTTCTGTCTAAAGCAGTCTCAGTCTCTGTTGGCATGCATAAAAATCCATGAAGTATTGGAAAGAGCTAGTTGCAGCCCCTGTGTAAGTTTGTAGAAAAAGCTGATTAGTCCTTACTTTCAGAGAGATTGGAATTGAAATCTATTCCCTTTCCCTTGATGTTCTCTCATATATATACACCTATATACTATAATTATTAATTTATTATTTATTTTTATAATATAAATAAAAATCCCTCACATTCATAAGAATGTCAGTCCTAGTGTAAAGAAGGGCTGGACTGGAAAACAGTTCAGCGATATAAAGCCAATCACAAATAGTATTTGTCCACAGACTAACGTAGCTGAAGCTGAGTGTAAAAATGAATAAAAAAAAAATAATCAAAATGTATATAAACACACTCAGAAGCGACTTTTCAAAGCGCTCGCTGAGAAAGGCTCTTTACTGTTCTGTTTCACCGCTTGCCTGTTCCATAAAAAGAAGAATTAATGTATGTCCTGCTTTGCCTCAGGTTACCTTTTTTCTAGCAGCACTGGAATAACTGCCTGGTGTGGACTTTCTGTGCTGTTTGGTTATGATTATGCAGGAAGAAGGACCCTTGAATAAACACTGAAAAATAATCGGAAGTTGCACATTTAATTTTCTGCATTATTTCCTCCATGGTATAGATCGTTGTAATTCTGTGGGAAACTGCATTTCACTGTTCTTGTGCATGGTGCATGAATTCAGACCGCAGCAGATGGATTCTGCTTTACTGAGCTCAGTTCTCCTTTGGCCATTGCCCTGTCCCGAAGCAGGAGCAGCCCCCGAGGTCTCATCGGTGTGCTCTGCGTGAAGCCCCAAGCCGTATTTGCTCTGAACTTTCGTGGACATTGACCATATTTGCTTCTGCTTTTTTTATTGTCTCTCTTTTATTGTCTCTCTTTTCAGGGGGGAGTTTTCTGCCTTACTTCTAGTATTAACGTAATTTGTATGTGTTCAAAGAGTTATATATTTGTTTCTTGGGGGGGGAG